GTAAAATCTACATATGAATTTCACCACATATACTAATATAATAAATATTAAATGGTACAAACACTACTTTAGCATTGTAAAGATACAATATTACAGGCAATGTACTTTTTATTCATACCATTTTAACTTGTTTCTCAATGATAGTTTTTAGCCCACCTTTTTGAAATATTTCATAGAATAAATGTTCAGGGAAACATACTTGGAGAAATATTAGTTCAAGCTATTTTTCTAAATGTGTTATAATAAATGGCAGATGTGCTCAAACTCATTTAAAAGAAAGAGCAAGAAGACAACAGTAGGGAAGAGCAGGGAGTTTGTACTGCTTATAAAAAAAATTCAGTCAACAAGGGATTCCAGGCAGGAGTCACACTAAAACAGCTGGCAGACCAAAATCTCAAATTCTGAAATAACCTTTGTAGAAACTAAACTGGGAAAAATAGGAATAAGTTTCCATTCCTTTGTCATGCAGCCACTGAGAGATGGATATTGCCTACTGAGAGAACGGTCTTGCCTGAAGCACAGTAGAAATGGCAGTAAGGAAGTACAGAGAAGAATTCAGCAGTAGCTGTCAGGGATCAAACTAATATCCATTGGTTTAGCAGAGGAAAGCAGCCTTAAAACAAAGAAAAACTTATATAATATCTATGTCATAGGTACGAGTTCTCATGGGAGTAAACAAATCACCATCTGCCAATGAGCATAGTACTGGAAGTGGCTTCTAAGCCTTAAACATTTCAATTATCTAAGAATCAAGAAGAATGGAAAAGAAAGTTCAAGATATAGCCTGTCCCTTTGACGGTGTTGTAAATAACAATAATAAGAAGATGATGAGATATTTGTTAAGCTGATACTTATATCTATTATTTCACAAAGCCCTATGAAATAGTTATTACAGAAAAGAAACTCACACTAAATGTTGAGTAACTGCACAAGTTCTTGAGAACTTTGACCAGGTCATGGAGAGTGTTTCTGGTATGCTAATTTATGTGTACATTATAGATGGATGGGAGAGGACATCAAAGGTTAGCAAAGTAAAAGGGTATAAAACCAGAAAGGATTGGGATACAGACACCCACTTTGTCTACCATTTTCATTTTCAATTCTTGTTCAAACTAGAACTTTGTTAATTTCCATCTAACATTGATTTAATAGATCTCTTTATGTTTGTGTCTTTCTAATAAAGAATAGCTTTAGTTAAAAAAAAAATTTAAAGATAAATTTCCCTGAGTTTGTAGCCTTACCTATCTGCCTAACTAGACAATATTGCCATCTAGTGGCCTAAATATACTGCAGCTACCACTTCTGGGGTGGGAGCAGGGGTCCTAACAGGGCTCTAAGGGGTGTGCCCAGCAAATGCAATGTTAATAGTGATGCCAGGCCCTACCAAGAGCACACAAATGCATCCAAAGAAAACATGTGCTGACATTTGATTACAGAACCACTCTGGTCCCAAAGCTTTACTTAATAGCTTCACTGAGAAAAATTACTGCCACCATTGAAACAAGGTTTTGATCTGCCTCATTTACTTATTTCCTTTTCTTTGAACTTTCAAGATCCATTTCTTACTCCTTTGTTCACCTTCCTGCTTGAAAATATTTTCCAAAATTTCTCTCATGTTTACAATAAGAATGTTGCCCTATAACACCATGACGAGGTAAAGAAGCGGGCATCAGTTGCTAACGATGATCAAGAACTCAACAAAAAGTCAATCTGTGTCTTAATAGAGAGACCCAGTATCGGTCCTAGAATGAGGAGAAAAGATCTAGGTTTTGGTCTAAATGAGATGAAGATTTAAGGGACAGGAAAATAGGAATAGGCTTACAAGATTGGAGCAGATGCATTTTCAACTGAGGTTCCCAATATTCTAGAGATAAATAACCTTAGCAAATATCCCTTGGGGCCTCTTCTTTAATTAAAATCAGATACTCACTGCTTGTCCTGATTTACTGGAAGGCTTATGTAACCCTTGATTCTGCAAGAAGGCCACTTATTGAAACCACCATCAACATGCTGAAAGAGCACGGAAAAGCAGGGAGAAAGAGCCACACCCAGGACTGGACCGCAGTCAGGATACCACTAGTGGGTTCTTGCCATGCCCCATCTCTGACCTTACACAGTTCAGATCATGAAGGATGTGAGAGTATAAACAAAACTGCCATTAAGTCTTTTTTAGCCCATTTTTGATGAAATAAGTATAGAAACACAGAACATCAGTTTAGATCTGTTTGAATAAAGACACAGAGGAAAAACTGGAAGAGGCAATTTTCGGAAATCCAAATACAGTATGTGCTTCTCCAAAATTTGCATCAGAGGCTGAGTCATGCCCATGCAAACGGATCTTAGTTCAAATTCATGTCAGAAAAATCTGGAACACGCTTACTTCCTTTATTCAAATCTCCTAGGAAAGCACTTGGTTCTTACCTATAATAAAAAGAATCTCCACTGCAATGTCACTGACTGTTGTGCTCCGAGTCGTGGACAGGTCATCATTGCCAATAAAGCAAACGTTGTAAGGTACGGTCACGGCAACATAAAACGTCGCCAACAAAATAAGCCAGTCCCAGCCAGCTTTAAAAGTGCTAAAATGCAAAAGTATGAATTTGGACTTTTTTGCATCAGAAACTTTATACTCTGGAAATGCTGGTTTATCTACAAAGACATTCTGTGGATAAAGACAAAAAGAAGAGAGAGGAGAAACACAATATTAGAAATAAAGATCACACAGCTTTAAACACACACTTACTAAAAGTGACTTTTAAAAGTTGATGATATAAAACACCCAAACAACTAAAATTGAGCAGAGATCATTGTCACAAGTAAGAGGAATAGGCAAAGTTTAATCATGAATGTTAAATGAGTAATCTAGATTTTGTTCATTAAAAATCAAAAACCCCATTACCTAAAATGTCATCTAAAAACATCCACAGCTGTTAAGTAATCCTACATGCATTATAAACACAAAGATAAATTTACATTTCTATTGTTATGGGTACATTTTGTATACTCATAGTTTTCGGATGACAGTCATTATCTAAAGAATATATTTGACCTGATATTTTACTGATGACAACAAAGGTACCATTTTTTTTCAGAAAGGATAGATACATGGCCAACGTTTTATTGTAAACAGCGGTTTACA